GTATGATATGAAAGGTGTCAAAATAGGCAGATGGGATATTATGGAAAATAAAAATGACAAATAGAAATAAATGTAAATACTATATTAGTATAATTGAATAATGTAGTGGGGGTGGATCATATGATAAAGAGGGAATTAAGATTGGGAAATGGATAGAGTTGTGGGAGAGGTTTGACGAGAGTTTATAGATTACTTATCATGGTGAGTATGATATGAAAGGTATCAAAATAGACAGATGGGATATTATGGAAAATAAAAATGGCAAATAGAAATAAATGTAAATACTATATTAATATAATTTAATATTTTAGTGGGGGTGGATCATATGATAAAGAGGGAATTAAGATTGGGAAATGGATAGAGTTGTAGGAGTGGTTTAAGAATGAAGCTTAAATCACTTTTTCTGGTGTATATAATTTAAAGGGTATGAAAGTAGGAAGATGGGCTTTTATTTTAAGGAATTAATAAATGTAAATACAATAATAGTATTTTATAACTTCAGTGCAGGTGGATAATATGAAAATGAATAAAAAAAAATTGGAAGATGGATTGAGTTGGATGAAAAGTTTGATATTTGGAAAAAAATAACTTATGAAGGAGAATACAATGAGATTGGTAAAAAAACAGGTAGATGGAATATAATGTCTGATTTGGATGATGGAGAGAGAAATAAATAAATGTAAAGATTTTAAGTATAAAATAATATCATAGTGGTGGTGGAGAATATGATAAGTAGGGAATTAAGATTGGGATATGGGTGGAGTTAGATGAAGAATTTGATTATAGTAGATAAGTTACTTTAAATGGTTCATATAATATGAAAGGCTAAAAGGTAGGTAAATGGAATATTGATTATAGTTATCTCTAACAGGAATATAAATAGATGTAAATATTATATAAGTATAGCAATAATACGTTAGCGGTGGTGGTTCATATGATAATGAAGGTTAAATCAAAGTTGGGAAGTGGGTAGAGTTGGATGAAAAGTTTGGAGATGGATTTCAAAAAAATAAAATTGTCTGGATAGGTGATTATAATTTGTAAGGTATGAAGATTGGTGTATGGGTGAAAAAAGATATTGAAAGGAATTAGAAATGTGGTGAAATAATATATATTAATTGAATAGCTTTAATTAGTATTTAAAAATTGTTATATAAATATTGTTACATTGCGATTAATTATTTTAATTTACTTTTAAATCTGATTGTGCGTCTATTGAATAAATCTTTTCTTTTTTGATTATATTATTTTTGAAAATTTATGTGGTGGTTTTTGGATTTGTATTTCTGAAAATATAAATTATTATATATATTTTATTGATTATGAATATTTTCGGATTTAAAAAGGTCAATTAACCTGAGCCAACATTATTAACTAAGACTAAAGAGGAATTAAAAGATAAATAAAGATCAATGAATAAAGAATATTAAATAGAAATAAAAGATATTAAAAGGTATTTTATTATTTTAAGTGTTATAGACAAAATTATTAACTTGAAGAAGCAAGAAAGAAAGCTGAAGAATTACTTCAAAAAGAAATAAAAAAAGAGACAAAACTGATCTATAAATTATATAGATTCATCAAAAAGAATTGAGGAGAAATCTTATAAATAAAGGAAATCTTTAAAATATAATGAATGCCATAAATAATACGCTATTTGATATCAAATTGGCTAAAGTTAAACAAATATCAAATAAAATAATAAATATATTATTTTAATCAAATGATAATACTAAACAAACTAATTTATATAAATAATATAAAGAACTTAATTTTATAAAATCTAAATGATGAATTAGAAGTTATTTCTCTTATATCAATTTATATATTTTTTCGATACTTAAAACATCATAAATCATCTTTTTTTAATTTTTTTTCTTTTTCATTTTTTTTTAATTCTTTCTTTATTTCTCTTATAAATCTGAAGAGGTCTAAACTTTTTTTCTCTTTTTAATGACTTCTTTACAATCTTTTTCAAAGATTTCAAGTTGTTGTATTTATATACTATTTGATAGACTTTTATACAATTTTTCAAAGAAATTTATTTATAGATACATAATTATATTAATTTAGAATTAGTCGATAGACTTTTTTGTTTAAGAAAATTAAGCTCTATCAATTTATTTGTCAAATAGTTATAATTTTTTATGATTTCACTTTCAATGATTAATTAAATTGTAAAACAATTATATGAATTTATTATTAATATTTCTTTTATATTCAGACTCTATATATATCGTTAATAAGCTGGTTTCATATTGTGATTTCATAGTTAATTCAAGCTCACAATAACAGCTTCTATATTATTGATTGATGTTTGATAAATTATTTTGCTTTGATAATAATTAGCCAAATGAAAAGATAATAGAAGACTGGAACAAAATAAGAATATCTTAATCAGAAATATATTCTATAGTAGTAAATAACAAGTGTAAAGACAATAATGATAATGTCTATTTTTCTTGAAGAAGGAGGCTTTCATGAACAGAATATTTACTGAAGATAGAAAACATATATAACTGATTTATCCTTTAATTCTAGCTTAGATTAGATATAAATGTATTCTTTAAGGTGGATATAGTGTTCTGTAAAATTGGAGACATTGGGTTAATGTTGTTTATAAATTTCATTGTTTTTAATAATTTGATATTATTAGATTTAGATAATTATTTTAAATTTATATTGAATTTATTTAAGACCAAGATAAATTTGATGAGTGCTATTTTTATGAATTGTTTAGAAAATAAATTAATTGAGAAAAATATAAATAATTTAATTGGATTTTCAAATTAATTTCTAGCTAGAATTATATTCAGTTTCTCATCTAAATGAATTTTTTCTTTGATTATTATGATTTTGATACTTTAAATAATTATTTTAATAGAAAATTTTAATTGTAAATACAATTAACAATTTAAATGATAGTTTATTAACGATAAAATACTTTGATAATAAATTGAGCTTTAATTAAATTCTATAAAAGAATGTAAGCCAGCATAATAGCTTTTAAAAACGAAAATGCATTATTTTTTTTCATTTTGGTATCTAAATAATAAAAATTTAAGTTTTTCCCGAATAAATATATTATATATATTTTATTTACCATTAAAATTTTTTATGATACAGAAAATATCGTCATTTTAAACAAATTACTAAATTAATATAAACTACCTAATTGATGAATCATTTTTAATTATAAATATAGCCCATTCAGTTAAATTTTTTTTCGTTCATGCTAATGGGCTATTTCTGAGAGTTGTTCCTTTTCTTAATTTGCTCATAAATTTTGTATCTATATCAGTTTATTGTAGATCTAAGGTCATTTCTATCGAAGAAATATACATAAATATATCTTAAGCTATTCCAAAAAATTCACTTACACATTATTTTATTTTATGATTCAAAATTAATTGAAACTTTTAATAATTGTTTGAATTTTCTGTTAAACTGAATGATGAAATATAAAATAATAAAAATTTTGTTAGCTATTTAAACAGTTTAAAGATTCTTAATAAGGATAACTTGGATTTAATGTGTAACCATCATTAATCAAATTAAATTTTGGTAGAAATTCCATTAATTATTAATAAATA